GGACGACTTTGAGAACAAAAGTATTAAGACAGCCCTTGAGGAGATTCTTCGCTGCAAGAAGATGGCCAAGTTAGACGCCTCCTCACAAAATGTTCAATCGCAATATGAAGATTCGAATATATATGTAATTCTCTAACACTTGAATAATAAGATTAATAAAGAATAATAATAGTTACTAATATACATAATAATAATGTCCAGTTATTACTTTCCAAAGATCATAGCGAGACTTCACTTATTTTGTTTTATCCTAATTTTTTAAATTATTAATATCATATCCCTTTTGGAGGAATCTTGCTTAAATATTTGATGTAATACAGTCTTCATTTATTTTGTAAGCTGTCTGGTCTGACTTAAGGAATAATTTCTTGTGGCAGGAATCTCAAGAAAATAACAAAACTACATCAGCTGTTCATAGTGAGATTATTCAGAGCCATCACGGGAAACCCCAAACATTTTCTTCCCAAAGATCACGTCTTGATATGCAAATTTCTCAGTTTCTAAATAACAGGCCCAATATATATGGACAAGTATATGAGTCATTGGCTGTTTCAAATGCCGTGGAGTTATTTAAGCTTGTTTTTTTAAGCACCGCTACCAGTCCACAGGCGCCAAATTTATTATCAGACATTCTTCGGCGTTATTCAGAGCATGATCTACTTGCTGCTTTTAACTACCTTAGAGAGAAAAAAATAATGGTAAATAGTTCAGTCATAGTTTAGTTTCTCGTTGTTTATATTCATGGCATGATAGAAGATGTCGATGGACTGTGTGCTCAACTTGACCTTATACTGTTGGTTGCTTTAGTACTTACCTTTATTGTGCATCATTTGAGTTTGCAGTACGCGTCTCATCATGTATCATATATTTATATAATGCATAAACTGAGGAATATGTTTGCATGTCATAATAATTTAATCAGTTTCTAGAGGACTTTGTTATGATAAAACAAATACATCTAGAATTGAAAGAGGCTTTTAAGTCTGCTATAAATGTAGTAAGCCTTATCATATAGAAAATGGGTTGTAGATTAACATTGAGAAGAATGTATGCAACATATAAGTGTTACATTTAAAAGCTGTAGCTTAGTCAGAGACAATGAGAACATGACCCTGTTTTGATAAACAACTTATTTGCAGCTTATAGCACAAGTGCTTATCATGATAGATAGGGGCTTATGTTTAAGTTTTTATAGTAAAAGATAAAATAAAGTTCAATCGTTTTCGAGTAAGCTATAGGCTATATTCTTAAACTATCTTGGAGAACTTATGAAACTAAGCTAAAAATAGCTTATGAATAATGTTATGAGTTCTTCCAAACAGTATCACAAATTTTATTTCAGTAGATAGGCTCAAATAAGTCAAGTCAATCCAAACTGACCCCATGTTTGTGAACACATGTCCAAAGGTTAATATTGAGTATGATTGAAGTACACAAGTATACTCACATGAAACAGGTGGCACCCCCACTTTAGCTAGGCGGAATGTACTTATTAGGTTTACCAAAACCTAACTAATATTTATTAAACTAGTAAGTTGTTAGTAACTATAACTTTCATTTTTCTTTTAAGTCAATGTCATTATTTTAGGCTCCTAAAGAGGGTTTAAACCATGAAACGCCGCCTAAAAATTTGTTATGTTTGTCTGGTATTGTAGCTACTTATTTGAATTTGATACTGCATTTTGAGATTTTTAGCATTCTGTTTTCTTATTCTTCTCCACTTCCTCTGTTACTATTTTATATAGACAACATGAAATATGTGTGTTTGAGAAAGCTCTAATTACATTGGCATTGGACAGGTTGGAGGCAACAGCAGTCGATTTGAACTATCACAGCGGTTCTTCCACAGTATTTCCCAGTCACCATTTCCTTTTGAAACTGGAAAGCAAGCTGTTAAATTTTCTGCGTGGCTGAAGGAAAGGAACAAAGACCTCAATGTAATGGGGACTGATCTTGCTGAAGATCTTCAATGTGGGGACACTTTTCATTTGTTTGCTTTGATCTCATCAGGAGAACTTTCAATTTCACCAAACTTACCAACTAATGGTGTTGGAGAAGCTGATGATTCGAGAAGTGGCAAGCGTAAATCTGATGCCAGTGGGTCTCCCTTTAGTGACAAAACCAAGAAACTGAAATCCTCGTTTGGAACAGAGGGTGAAATTATTTCTCGCCGGGAAAAAGGTTTTCCTGGTATAGTAGTTTCTGTTCACCGCACGACAGTCTCAAGAGCTGATATTTTAAATTTGTTCAAGGATAATGATAATAATAACAATGACCAACATTTTGAGGGGGATTTTCCAGTTAACACGGCCCAAAGCAGTAATTATTCACTTAATGATCATATGCTGGAAACAGTTAACTCGTGCGACCAAGTACCTGAAAATAAAAATCACATTGAATCACCCTGGGAAGCTATGGCAGAGTATGTACGCCGTTTGATGACAGTACCTTCCAATCAAGAACAAGAATGTGCTGTGTGTGCTGAGGTCTTCGTGGTTGTTTATGCTACCATCCAGAAGGCTGGTGACCAAGGATTAAGCATGGGAGAAATTTCCCAAGCTATAAACTTGCCAGGTATAGATGCTCTGAAATACAATCTTGTATGTGATTGGCTTAAAATTGATACAAAGTTCAATTATTTTCCATTAGTTTGTTAGTTTATTGTGTTTATGGCTATATGTCTTTTAGGAGCAGAGTTAGATGGTCTGATTGTTGATGCTCTTCAAGCATTTGGAAAAGTCTTAAAGGTCCTCCCTCCTCCTTGTTCCAATTGTTTATAGCATCTTATTTAGATTTTGCTGTAGTTTGCGACATCATTACTAATTTGAGTCATTTATCTCGGAAGAAATTGGAAGTTTTTTGCTGAAAATTATAATAGTTTATTCTCTGGTTCAGCTTCAAAACAAGTTTGATTTCTTTTTCTAGGTCAATGCTTATGACTCTGTTCGTATTGTTGATGCTCGATACCGCCACAAGTACTTTTTGACAGCCGTGCCTGGTTTTCATCCTGTTCGACCTTCTTCAAACAAGACCGTTAAGGAAAGTGATGATACATGCAAGCTTTACAATTCAGAAAAAAGTGACTCTGCTGCTGCTGCTGCTGATGTTCTGAGGGAAAGAAACACCGGCCTTGATAATGTGCACAAAGTGACAATTCTTAATCTTCCACATGAGGACGTGGACCATGAAAATCAAGCTTGTGACATGAATGAAGGCAGCATGCAAATCAGATTTGGCCCGTCGAGACATGATCATGAGAAAGAAATAGTCAATATTCCTTCGGGTGAATTATGTATGCCAATATTGCCATGGGTCAATGGAGATGGGACCATCAATAGCATTGTTTTCAAGGGACTGAAACGTCGTGTTCTTGGAATAGTGATGCAGAACCCAGGGATATTGGAGGTATATGAATATATTGTTCTTTGACCAGGTTTATTTAAGTTTTCATAGAACTTTCAACTTTGAAAAATAGTTGCTAGTGAGTGTTGTTGCATACTAGCTTTTTGCTCTAGTCCAGGTTAGATGAAAACAACAAATTGGAAAGCTATCGATTTTTAAATACTAAAGTGAGAAAATATTGAATGAGCTGCAGAGGCCGGTAATTTTACTTGGCTTGAAAATAAGTCCGGTGGCCAGCTATCCAAGTTAACTCTTTACAGTATTCCAATAAGAAAAGAAAAAGCTTACTGACAATTTTATTTTCTTTCTGCTAGGAGGATATTCTACGTCAGATGCATGTGCTGAATCCACAGGTATCCTTTCTATGATTTCTATTCTGAAATTCTGGTCATTGGTTTCACATTATATTTTGAGAAATAGTGGTTACCACCTGCAATCTGTTGTCAAGTCACGATGACTACCTGGTTTGGGGCACATGCTTTTATATTCATGTTCTCTTCTAGTGTTACCCACTAACTTACCAGTTGCCACTACACCCTTCTAGTTTTCAATTTATGTCTAGTTGTGTAGGAGGCTGTACTATATTAATTGTTTGGTAATGCTGATTGTGAACCTCGATTTTGATACACTATCGTTTTTAGCTGCTGTTACTTATGCGTTTTCTTTGTGTTTTCTCAGAGCTGTAGAACTCTTCTGGAATTGATGGCTCTGGATAAACACCTAATTGTGAGGAAAATGTATCAAAGAAGATTTGGCGGAGGGCCCTCCATGCTACAGAATCTTATTGGAAGCAAATCGAGTCAACAGAAGTGGATTTGTGCAGAGCATTTCTTTGCCAATCCAATGAGTACTTCCTTGTTGTAGGGAAAATAAATGAGTATTGGATATGTAAAGTAAGATTAATATCATGTATATATAGGCAATTTCAGATACTGATATTAAAGTTCATATTTGGAAGAATCATAACTTGCAATATATTTTAAACTTATGAACTTTTTGAACTCCATGTTCTGTTCTGACTTAAGAATGTGTTCGGTGTTGAAATTGATGAGTTGACTAAGGTTTCAAAACGTCACAATTCAACCCATTGTTATCAATTAAAACTGCTCGTCCGGCCTGTGGCTAGTCGGTAATCTTTCTAATAAACAGTTAATATATACATAATGTAATGTTTATATATGAAACATAAAATAAATATTTTCATGTATATGTATCTTGACTAAACATTGATTTAGTGTAATTCCATAATATGTTCATTTATTTTATTAGTTGTAATATAAAAAAGAAATGATATAATTCCATAAGATGTTCATTTATTTTATAAGTTGTAATATAAAAAATAAATGATACTGTATTCTTATTTAAATGGACCTTAAATATTAAATTTATTAAAAGAATTGATAGTGTACATGGAGAATTTTATATCCTACTGGAACCCAACACCAATTTGACTAAAATCTAAACTATATATATATATATATATATATATATATATATATATATATATATGGATGACTTTGTTGCGATGTTACTACATATCTATATGGTTTTCTATGATGACTCGGTTCCCTTATTCTTCAAAGAGAGTTTGGCAGAATCTATATGGTTTTCTGTGATGACTCAATTCCCTTAATCTTCAAAGAGAGTTTGGCAATTGACGAATCAATATCTTGACGTTTAGGTCGATTTCTACCATTGTGTTTTTGCTGCTGCTGCTGCCTGTGTTGTTGTTGTTGATAAATATTTCTAAGCCTTGAGATTTCTTTCTCAAGCACTTCCTGCTCCACTGTAGAATCAAAATTAACCAGTTATACATTACCAAAACTTAATAGAGGTTATAAATATAAAAAAAAATGGTACTATACTCACAGCATTTAATGAAGTGTTCTTGAGATAAACTGTCCAAACGTTGCTTGAGGGCCCTGTTCTCCATACCTAATATGAGGTTTTGCTGATCAAGAAATTCAAGCTCTGCCGAAACTTGATATCCTTCTGCCTACAGTTGAAAGAAATTGAATGAAATATGTTTTATTCTGTCTATAATTCATCATTTTTAGTCTCACCTGTAAAGATTGAACACTTGTTTCTAGTTCCCCAATGTATTGAACTTTCCTCGCTCGGTACTGTTGAGCTGAATGCCTGCATTGTATTCTATTAAGTTTCAGTATGATGAACAATAACCAAAATTAAATTATATGAGATATGACATGTATATGTACCTTCTGAGGCGTTTTGAAGGATCAATTCTAGGATGTTGTTGTTGTTGTTGTTGTTGTGGGTTTGGTACATTAATATTCCTATCAGGATCTTGAAGAAGAATATTTTTATTATTTAAGAATGCTATTGAGTCACTCGATGATCTTCTATGACTTCTGCTTACACAATTAGCAAGTTTCTCTTCTTGTTCAGGCTCGTCGTCGTCGTCAAGGAGATCATTCAACCAATAAGGTACATCCTGCTGCTGGTGCGGATCCGATAACGTACGTTGATTTAGCCTCATTCCTCCTAATTCAGATAATAATCCATCTAAATAGGATTCACTCATTTTATTTATAGGAGGTAATGAAAATGTTTGTTCATATTGTGAGTGGTCTCTCAAGTTTGGTACACTATTCGAACTTTGCATTTCTATGATCCTGCATTGCAACACAGATGAAATAGTTACATTTTTGCATTTCTATGAGCCTGCATTGCAACACAGATGAAATAGTTACATGTTTTGAAAGGAAATAATAATAATAAAAATGTGTAGTCAAACAGAAATAACAGTTAATACATAATTCTTGATAAAACTAATTAGAGATTGTGTACATTTAGATCACAAACCAAATTAACAGCGCGTGAGGATGTATTGGAAAAGTATATAACGTGATAAGAAGGAGGAGATTTGCATCCATATACAAAATTGTATAATTTTTGAATTTTCACTACATCCTTAACAATTGTAAGAGAAAAAGGTTCACCGGAGATGCAGGGAGAAGTGGGTGACTCTCCATGAATAAGTGATTTTGTTTGTTTTGTTTCTTGTATCAATCCGAAAAAGCGGTAGGAAGACCGTGTTTTGCGTGATTAGACTTTAAAATAATCAAGTTATTGTTATCTTCACTTCTCATGTCAAAATAATCACCCTTTCTTAATATCTTTACACATCAAATTACTAAAATATTAAACATTGTTTTTATATTTTTATTATAATTATAACATCAATGTTATGATTTTTTATTTATTTTCAATTACAATTTTTTAAAAAGTTTATATCAAAAGATCTAACGACACTTCAGAATTGAATTTATAACATGTACAATTTCTATACTCTATTCTTTCCTATAAAAATTGAAAGAAAATTAACATATGAATTAAAATGGAATAGAAATAAAATTCTCTAAATCTATAAGAATTTATGACTAATTTTTCCTTACAGGTTAATTGTTATTCATAAATTTTTACAATTTTAAAGAATTTTATTTTCGTTACATATAGATATGTTATTGTATTTATGTGTTGATTTTCTATTAAAGTATCAAAGTTTTTTATTAACGGTGTATTTGACTTATTTAAATGATAGAGGAAAATACAGTATAATGATGATTTATTCGAAAAATACTAATTATCATTTGTGGAATGGAAAAATGAAAATTTTGTAAAGAAAATATATTTACGTGTTTTTGGAACCAAAAAGCTAGATTTTACTTCTAGCGAAGAATGAGAGTTTATACACTGACAAGTTTGTAGTTTTATTCAAGACTATAATATTTAGTCATATTACTAATGAAACAAATGTAAAAAAAATGTAGGAGAAGATAAAGATTTTGTATGCTTCTAAAATTATGGAATAATAAAATTATTCTCATTGAATAACTTCATAAAATAAATTTGAGGCATAAAGATAAAATTTCTATTTTAAATAATTTGAGTGAGTTCCGAGAGCTTTTAGATAATTTGAATAAATTCTAAAAGTTTATTGATTGATAATTTGAGTGAGTTCGAAGAGCTTTTAGATAATTTGAGTAAATTTTAAGAGTTCATTGATTGAATGTTAAAAATACGTATTAAGTTTGATGACGATCTTTTTTGACTATTTTTATTCTCATTTTTACTAAAGTTTTGGAGAGACATTTAAAATTTCTATTATAAATTTGACTTTTAGACTTTACTAATATGTCAAAACCTACATCTAAATGTTTTTTTATTAATGTCAAAATCCATCCCCTTATCACACCTCTCTACTCGAAACTCGTTTCAAAAACATCATTTGTCCATCAAAATTTATATTTATTAGAACTTAATATTTTCTTTTTGTCAAGTCTCTTTTAATGGACATGTATAAGTTTACTTAATCATCCACTAAATAACTTTTTAATTGATGAAATCCACAATAGTTGATATAATAGTAATGACTTGGGACTTAAATAGTGTGTTCACCTCAAAGTCTCAATTTCGAATCATATTACATACTAATAATTTTTATATTGGTTCCGTCCATATAAAAGTTTGCTTTAGCTTTAAATGGAATTTTCATTAGTGAAATATGAGATTGATCCTCTTAAATTAATAGATCCTAAGATCAGATATCAAAATTTAAAAAAAAAAAACTTCTTTCGTTATGTAACTTCTAATTTTCTCAAGCTTTTTTCATATTTGATTTTTTATGTACTTCACAATTTTCCATTAAAAACTTCACAGTTATTGCATAAAGTGTCTATTTTGATTTGCTCAAGAACAGATAGAAGAATAGATCAATTTTTTATTCAACTTGGATTTAAGAAATGCACAGTGGAGTGTGGTGTGTATCTCATAAATTTAAAAATGAATCAAATATGCTTTTATTTATATATATATATATATATATATATATATATATATATATATATATATATATATATATATATATATATATATATATATATATATATATATATATATATATATATATATATATATATATATATATATATATATATATATATATATATATATATATATATAAGATAAATGAGAATTATGTCATAGAAGTTGAAGAATTTAAAAGCACTATGAAGAATAAAATTGAGATGACTAACTTAGGAAAGCTATCTTATAGGTCGGCCAAAGTTATAGGTGAGTGAGACTATCGTTTTAAGCCTCAAATTTTTAGACTTTTAAGATAGGTCTCAAATCTAGAAAAATAAGGCCTCAACTATTATATAATAAATAAACGTTTCATAAAATAGAATAGGAAACACATAGTTGAAGTGGTAAAAGATCTAGGTAATTATTTTCTGGCACACGGGTTTGAATCCTATTGTGGTTATTTTGTAAAACAACAATTCTATATAACAACAAATTCACTATTCATTACAAACTAAATTCTATAATCATTTATACAAAAAATCATGTCCGTGCTATCTTATCTATAATTATTTTTAAATAATTTAATCAAGTTTCGCCTTAGGCCTCCAAACGTATTGGATCGGCCCTGCTATCTTACGTAGATGGTGTGAAATTTGTGAACACCTATAAGATCTCATTTGAGGGTAGCTAAGAGAATCATGGGATATGTTAAAGGAAAATCAAGTATAGTCTACTATTTCCTGCACAAATCGATAAGAAACAAATTGAATTGATTGACTACTTTGATTCAGATTGGTGTGGGGGAATAAAATAGATATGAGAAACCCTTCTAACTACTCATTTCAATTCCAAGGAGCTTCAATCTCTTAGTGCTATAAGAAACAACCAGTGACAACTTTATCATCATGTGATGTTGAAAATAAAATAAGCATTTTTCTGACCTTAGAGTTTATATGGTTCGACATGTTGCTAAAGAAACTAAAATGTGAAGTGAAGAAACCATTAAACCTTATGATTCACAATAGATTGACTATCGATATAACCAAAAACTCACTCTCACATGAAAGAAACAAACACATTGAAACTTGATTCCATTTTATTGGGAGCAAGTGATGAATGAAAGGATTGATGTAGTGCAATGTCCTAGTATTGTGCAACTAGTCGAAGGATTCACCAAACCATAAAGATTGAGAGATTTGTGCTCTTATGAGAAAAGCAATGGGTAGTGCCATTTTAGAACTTGTGGATTAAGGATGTGCGTTAAGATTTAATCCAACTAATCCTATTTTAACTTGTTGGATAACAAGACAGTCATATAGTAGTTAACAAGTAGTATTATATATTAGTTAATTGGTTAAGTGTGTTACTTAACAAACAAGTTACCCACATATGATACACACATTTCATCATACATTCGGCTACTACATTGCTTACCGTTTCTAACCTTGTCTTGCTTTGATTCATTGCATAAATAACATAAACTTTCCATTGCGCCAACAATTAATACAAAAGGACTTGGTTCCTATTACTATCTAAGCAACTAAGCAAGGAAAACATAATAAAAGTTAACTATCAATTACATCCATAAACTTAATGATAAAACAATAATTACTACCAAGTACCATAGCAGAAAGTTAAAAATAAAAAACATAGGTTTTGATAAAATGGGTGGAAAAAAATAAGCAAGATACTAAGCAAGGTCTGTTCAATATTGGATTACCTACCACCTTCATATAACTCATTCATGATATATAGGCATTAAAAACATAAACTAAACATTCATGATTCCACAATTTAAAGCTTCGCAAACTTCTTTTCTTTCAAACTTTCCACAGTCTCTTTGATGCTCACTTCCAAAGGAATGTATTCGATGCCCAAGCTCTTCGCTTTTTCTTTGGAAACCTGATATATAGGCACATTCGGCTTATCATCTGCACACCTGGTTATAGTGTTGACAAAGTGAAAATGGTATTAGATAAATCTAAATAGCTAAGACTTGAATCATGTAAATCATATAAATGTAAATGCAGTAATTAACAGAATGTTGAATCATGTAGTGCTCGTGTCACAATATTTGTAGAACTTGTAACATTTAATGTTTTTGCTATAACTTGGCCTTCTTTCAGAAACAATTTATGTTCAAGTCAACATTTGTATGACTTGTCACATTTAATGTTGCTATAACTTGGCATTCTTTCAGAAACAATTAATTCAGCAACGAATACAAATGAACGGTTTAATTTAAATTTGCAATTTAGCATGACCATAAATATACAGAACACATAAAAATAGAGGAAGGTTCAAATAATGGGCTATCAGACAACATAAAGCAACCTTCCAACTCACATTCATCCACATGGATGTGCTCAGTCACAAGCATGCGTATACAAAACAACAAATCAAAAGAATCATTTAGTCCACAAACACTTGATAATTTAACTAATATGATATAGAACATATTAATTAGAGAACAAATGGATATAAAGATTCAAGATTTGCTTCCTACTCTGTTTAGTTTTCTTGACTACGTGATGCATTTCAAGTACGATAATAAATAAGAAAGTATGTGATATCCTTCGTGATACTAGTATGCATAATTGTAAATTCACCGACACTCCTATTGATGGCAGGGGGTCCCAATGTCAACCTTCTTACATGAGCAATAGAAGGTCTACTTCAAGTAAATGTGTTGTGATTTGGAGATATTCAATTATATTAAGAAGCAAGAAGCAAACTATTGGGGAAAGATCAAGGTGAAACAGTTGTTGAAAATATACTCCAATAGTTAAATTTATGAACTATAATCAGGTCCTATGTAACTTAAGTGTGATAATTAATCAGCATTGTGTTGTTCTTCAAACTTGATATTTCACGAGACAAAAAAAAGGTTGAAGTTGATTGCCACTTTATATCCTTTCAGTCAATCATTAAAATCACTTTAGTGAGCTCCAATAATTAGTTGTCTGAAACATTCACCAATTCTCTAGGGAGATCTCAGATTAATTATACATACCAAGTTGGATGCTCTAGCTAGAAGGTGATTATAGTCAGAATTAGAATTAATCTT